CACGCAATTGTTAAGTGAATCTGGCTTCTCCCATTGATTTTGCTGGTCAGAAGGTTGCAAAAAGGGATCGCGTGACTTTGGGACACTGCAGCTGTCATAAATACAGAGTCCCTTGGGAGTTGGGCGGCCTAGAAATGCGACAAAATAAATAAATAATAAATAAATACAAGCCAGTTGCCAAGCGTTCTGAATTTTGATCACGCGACCACGGGGGATGCTGCAACGGTCCTACATGTGAAAAAAAATGCTCATAAGACAGTTGTTGTTGTTTTTTAAAGTGCGTTCTAACTTCAGTCATTAAATGAATGGGTTGTAAGTCGAGAACTACCTTTATTAAAACAGTCACTCCGGAGCAGCCTGGCCAAAGATAAGAACAGTGGTCCAGAAATACAGTAGAAACCTTCAAATTTCAAATTTCTAGGTTCTAACATATCGCAAGGTCTAAAATGGACAGCTAACATCAAAAACGTCATCAAAAAAGCACAACAAAGAATGTTCTTTCTGCGCCAACTCAGGAAGCTCAAACTGCCCAAGTTCTACAGAGGAATTGTTGAGTCTGTCATCTGCACCTCCATAACTGTCTGGTTTGGCTCTGCAACCCAACGAGACAGGCACAGACTTCAGAGGATGATTAGAACTGCAGAAAAAACCATGGCTACCAACCAGCCTTCCATGGAGAACTCCACTAGTCAAAAAGAGGGCTGGGAAAATATGTACAGACCCCTCGCATCCTGGACATCAACTCTTTCAACTCCTACCCTCAAAACGACGCAATAGAGCACTGCACCCCAGAACAACTAGACACAAGGACAGTTTTTTCCCAAACGCCATCACTCTGCTAAACAAATAATTCCCTCAACACTGTCAAACTATTCACTAAGTCTCCACTACTATTAATCTTCTCATCATTCCCACCATCCGTCTCCTCCCACTTATGACTGTATGACTCAGGGGTGGGTTCTACTTACCTTTACTACTGGTTTGCAGCGGGCTTTTCTGCACATGCACAGAAGCGTTTTGGTGATGTCATGGTCGGTGGGCGGAGCCTCCCCCGGTTTTACTACCAGTTCTATAGAACCGGGGGCAACCCACCACTGGTATGACTGTAACCTTGTTGCTGGTATCCTTACGATTTATATTGACTGTTTCCTAATATGATTTGACTGCTTATTTGTTCCCTATGACTATCATTAAGTGTTGTACCTTATGATTCTTGACAAATGTATCTTTTCTTTTATGTATACCGAGAGTGTATGCACCAAGACAAATTCCTTGTGTGTCCAATCACACTTGGCCAATAAAAAATTCTATTCTATTCTATTCTATTCTATTCTATTCTAAATCTGCAGGATACTCAGTCAAGCATTTGGTGAAAAGCAAATAGCATCTTTTTCGGCCAATAAATTCCGAATCCATTCTGCGCACTGGATAAAATGGTCACAGAATGGATCCCACTGGATCCATAGCGTCCACGAAAGAGACCTAAAACAAGACAGAGAATGGTGGGCTAGGGAATGTCAAATTTTTCAACTTTCAATTCCCAAACCTTAGGGGTTGCTCAATTGTAAATGATTGTAAATGCATTTTCGTTACTTTAATATAATTTAGATGTGCTTGGTATTACATACCGTAAATCAGAGGTGGGTTTCAGCAGGTTCTGACCAGTTTTGGAGAACCGGTAGTGGAAATTTTGAGTAGTTCGGAGAACCGGTAAATACTGCCTCTGACTAGCTCCGCCCCCATCTATTCTCTGTCTCCCGAGTCCCAGCTGATTGGGAGGAAATGGGGATTTTGCAGTAACCTTCCCATGGAGTGGGGAGGGAACGGAGATTTTACAGTATCCTTCCCCTGTCACGCCCACCAAGCCACACCCACAGAACCGGTAGTAAAAAAATTTGAAACCCACCACTGCTGTAAATATATTAATTTTTGAACGTTTTGTTTGTTTCATTGGGTGGGCCCAGTTGGGGAAACTGGTCCAGTTGGGGCCCAGTTGACTACCTGACTGTACAGGTAGTCCTCGTCTTAATGACTACAATTGAGTAAGTCAAGGACTACCTGTATGGATTGGAAACGGGCGGAAGCAGCCTTCATCCTGCGGTGGGTAAACCATGGCTTAAAACGATTTTATTTATTTTATTTTATTGAATTTGTATACCGCCCTACTCCCGAAGGACTCAGGGCAGTGAACAGCCATAGAATAAAACATATAAATACAAAATTTAAAATAGAATAAAACGAATTAAATAATTTGGCTGATGATGATGAAATTCAGAATAGGACGTGTGAGGACGCTTAAGTCCAAGGGCTGTGTTTGCAAAGCGAGGACCATAACTCTGTGAAAAAGGATGTGTGTTTCCATGCAAACAATCCCGCCCCCTCGGGGGGGGGGGTTTCCAGCTAACTTAAGAGTTGTGTCATTACTGGGGGAGCCCCATTTGCCAGTGGGAGAGCTGAAGGCCGTCCCAGCAGCCTTCCCACGAGCTGTTTACTTTTTATCAATGAGTAACCGGGAGGCAGGTGATAGTACATAACAGCCACATGACATCTCAAGGCCCCCGGTGGGTTTTGATCCCTTACTCCAAAGTTAATACAGGAAGTCCTCGGCTTAACAACCATTCGTTTCGTGACCATTGGAAGTTACCACAGCACAGAGGAATGGGACTTGGGTCCGTTTTTCACACTTACGACCGTCACGGCATCCTTGTGGTCGGTGCTGCTGCAGATCTAAGCACCTCCCGGGCCCGGATCCAGCCCACGGGACTTGAGTTTGACACTCCCTGCTATAGAAGAAACTTTCTCTGCCTTAAGGAAGCTTCTTTTTTTTTTTTTTTTTTTTTTTTTGCAAAAGTGGCAAATATCTGTAGCTCGGGTGTAGGATGAAGGTGAAGGTTCCTCCTCCGAGCTTGTGGGTTTGGTTCCCGAACGTTTCGCTACCAGGTAACATCTTCAGCGTCAGTCTTGGTGTTCTTGTTCTGTCCCCGTCCCACACACGCACACCAACAGATGTCCAAGAGTTAAAAACCAAACCAGCCGACAAGAAACTCCCTTTTGATAACGGAACTTGGCAGCAACCTAGTGGCTGCCTGCCAAGAGTCTTTTACTTACGAAGGGAGGAGAGAACTTCTCTCCGCTTCTGGTACTTCAAAGTAAAATGTTCAATAATTACAGAGTCAATCAAGTCCAAAGATAATCCAGCAAAGCCCATAGCAAAAGTCCGGCAATGCAGAATGGCGTGGAAGCTTTCAGCTTTGTTCATCACAAGGCTTGACTGGCCACCACACTCCCTTTTATACCCTGTGGGGTGTGTGGTCCAGGGACTCAGCCTAATCTCAGGCACGCCTCCTTTTCTGTTGCGTGCGCTTATCTCTCCGACGCTGGCGTGGATCCAGCCAAGACTCATCTCCGTCACTGTCCGACTGCAACTGCTCGGGGATACCTGGCTCCTGGCCAATCTCTTCTCCGTCGGGAGACACCTGAGGCATTGCCAGAGAGGAGAGCCCTGGAGAGGGAGGCCCGGCCAACTCCTCTCCTTCCCTTTCGGAGCCGCCTTCCTCCGATAAGATGGGCTCGGGGGTCGGAGCCACAACAGTTCTTCTGCTTCTATTTCTGAGCATATTAATCTACCCCGACACATATGGGTGACATACAATAGAATTAGAACGACTCATGGGGTGTGTGCCGACTCCTTGTATAAATGGGGAAAGACACCTTCAGCGCAATGCGATTGTGGGGCTCCTCGACAGACTATCCAACATATAGTGAGGGAATGCTCTAACAGAAGGTATCCAGGAGATTTTAGGGACTTCCTCTGCGTAACAACGACAGCTACTGACTGGATCGCCGAACTCGACATTAAACTCTGAAATGTTATTTCTGTTTTCCTCTTAGGTTTTCTTACTGCTTTTTTAAAATTGTTTTAATTGTTTTAACCTGTAAAAATGAAGTGTTTTATATTGTGTGGGACCAGCCATACGCTAAATAAAATAAATAAATAAATGCCACCCTTTACTAAAAAAAAGTTTTCTTTCTATCCTACCTAACTTCTAATCATGTCACCTACCTAAAAAAAATCAAAGAAAGAGAGAAAAATAAAAGCAAGTCAGAACAACAACAAAAAGGAGAAATCATCTATCCATCATCTCTTGCCCGCTTCAATACTTTTAATTGCTATGCTTTTTTTTTTGACTTGCCTCCCATATTCCTCTCTTGGATCTTTATCTCTATCTACTTCTTGGCTTTTCAATCTAGATATTTCTCCCACCTCTACCCTCTTCCACTGCCTAGCTTCCAACTTCTTAAAGCAGCTATGTTGTCTTTTACTGGAGTTGTGTAAATGCCCACTACAATTGTAGCACAGTCCCGGGAAGAAAAAAAATGAATTTGGGTTACGGACTTGCAAAAAAAAAATTGGTATGAAATCGCCTTCAGTTATTCCAAAGCACCATAGATCCAAAGAACTGCACAATCCTGCCAGATATAAAATTATATAGCAATAGCACTTAAGACTTACATACCGCTTCACAGTGCTTTTACATCCCTCTCTAAGCGGTTGACAGAGTCAGCCTCTTGCCCCCAACAATCTGGGTCCTCATTTGACCCACCTCGGAAGGACGGAAAGCTGAGTCAATCTTGAGCAGGTCAGGATCGAACTCCTGGCAGTGGGCAGAGTCAGCCTGCAATACAGTATTCCTAACCACTGTGCCGCCACTGCTCTGTATCCAATTATAATTGTTTCTTTGGTGGTTTGTAATGCAAAATCCACATCTATGACTGTCTACGCTTGTCTTTTTTAAAGCTGTATTTGAAAGCTGAGCATCGTGCCAGTTTCAAAATCAAAATTGATTATCTCCGAACAATAAATTTCTGTCTTTTTGTGGTCAATGCCGTAAATATCTCCAACATAGATCAATGGCGGGTGGGTGAAAAGGAATTATTTATTGTAAGAAGGCTTCCATTATTCTTCTTTAATGAGATGTTTCTTTTTTCCTTTCTTTCAGGAAATGCCCAACTCCGTCTTTCTCGTAATGGAGGTGTGTATATTTATGATTTGAATTTCTTTGTGGCTAAATTTGAGTTATTTTTCCTTTTGTCATCCTAAAGTCTCTCCAGCTTCCCCAAAACCAGTTAGGGATCCCCTGAATTGTTCTAAATTTAGTACATACAGTAGTGGCCAAAATTGTGGAAACCTTTTGGGGAAAGTATATTTTTGAGTTTTGATGGCTAATAACATCACTTTTTTTTTTTTTTTTTTTTTTTTTTTTTTTTTGAGTTTAAAGATAATCCTATTCCACTGTTGGAATGGCCTGGGAATAGCCCAGACCTTCTTAACCCAATTGAAAATCTATGGAGCCGGCTAAAGAAACTTGTTAGTCAGAAGCACCCAGCAATAAACCCCAGTTAATAGAAACAATCCTTCAATCTTGGTTTCACATAACACCTGCAGAAGTAAAAGACTTGGTTCACTCCATGGGAAGACATTGTAAGGCCGTCATTCATACTAAAGGGTTACCCAACTAAATATTAACTGACATGGGGACCATTTTTGTATATCTCATTTTTACTATGTGTTTCACTTTTCTTCTTTGTATTGTAACTGTTATTCTAACAGCAAATCCTTCATAAAAGTTATTGCGTTACATTCTTGATTAAATTATCTTTCCATTGATATATAATTTTATCGTACTACATTGAAAAAAAATGGTGTTATCATCTAGTTTTATTTATTATTTATTTATTAATTCAATTTGTATGCCGCCCCTCTCCCAAGACTCAGGGTGGCTAGAAAATACACTTTTCCCAAAAGGTTTCCACAATTTTGGCCACTACTGTATGTACACTACCAAAGAAAATCCACCCCAAAATATTTCTGATCCACAAGATTTGGGTTCCAATGCATAGTGTTATGTGATTTATGCTATAAAATATACGTGGGTTAATATTTGATGTTCTATATTTACAGAAGTAATTATTAAAAGTCCTCTTTTTTTTTTCCATTCACCCATACATTGCCTTGCAAAACCTAGAACAGCTAAGGAAATGTGCTACCAATAAAAGAGAATATTCAGGGTTGAACTGTGGAGTCCTTGGTGCTCTCTGAACTTGGCGGTTTTCTTGCAGGCGTTTCATTACCCAACTAGGTAGCATCATCAGTGTTAGAAGGAAGTGGGGTTTGCTCTCTGCTTATATACCAGTGGCTTGACCTGTCAGCAGGGTGGATTTGATTTAAATCGAGTTGATTTAAATCACAATTTAAATCATGATTTAAATCCCTAGTAAAAAGGCTTGATTTAAATCAACTCGATTTAAATCGTAATTTTTAAAGAGCAACTGTCATCTCTGCTCCTCCTTTGACCCATTGTTGACTCACCGATAGTCCCAGTGTTGCAGAATATACAGCCTCCTGCTACCTAACTAAGCTCCATTTCATGCTGAATCAACTAAATTATTTATGTATCTTACATAGAAAACTATCTTACGATAGATTTTTACCCCAAAGTTTTTTTTTAATATACTTTATTAAATTTTTCCATTATAAAAGAAAAATATACAATCTCTACCTCCTTCAGAGGCACAGTGTTTATACATATTAAGAAATCATACATCAAATATACTTCATCCTTAGCTGTTCAAAATTATATACAGTATAGCTCGTATTTCAAATGCATAACTAATCATATCCTAAGATCATGTTTTTGTCTTGTTCTTCAACCAGTTATACCAATTTCCCCATACTTCGTAATATTTAGATTTCTCCTCATTTATCTCACTCGTCAGTTTTGCCATTTCTGCACACTCTAGGATTTTATTTATTAACATTTCTTCTGTTGGTATGATTTTATTTTTCCAGTATTTCGCAAAAGCTAGTCTAGCCACTGTTGTTATCTGGATTATAAATTGAGTTTTGTTATTGTTAAAGCCGTCCGATTATACCCAGAAGGAAGATTTCTGGTGATAAAACAATCTCCTGTCCCGTTATTTCACATAGCCAATGTCGAATTTTGGACCAGAACCTTTTTGTCTCTGGACAGGTCCACCATAAATGATAGAAGGTGCCGACCGCTTTTCCACATTTCCAACACATGGCTGAGAGATTTGGAAACATTTTCGCTAATCTAGCTGGCGCTAAATACCACTTGTGTAGCATTTTATAATGATTTTCTCTGAATGTTACCGATTTCATCATTTTATAATTCCTATTCCAGGCCACCTCCCTGTCATTGAAATTTAATCTGTATCCCAATTTTTTTTCCCCAGATGTTTAGTTGGTTTTTTGCTATGATCTCTGCCCTATCCTCATCTAATAAAAAGTTGTATATTTTTGCTAGCATTTTCTTATCTACTCCCCAAATTTTTTTATTAAAATAAATTCGATAAAAATCAAAAAGATCCGATTTAAATCAAAAAAATCTGATTTTTTTTGATTTTTTTAAAAAAATCATTGATTTTTATCCACCCTGCCTGTCAGTGTTGGTGGGAGTGTTCTTGATTAGGCTTTTATATATTATTTGTTTGTCTGAGTTGGTGGTTCCTTGATTAGGGTATGTTTACAATAAGTTGTCAGGGTTCCAAGTAATACGTCCATAGCAGAGAGAACTCCAAGGCAGGAAAGTTCCTCATTTTATTAGGATATATATTGGCACAAAGCTGATGAAAACCGACTCTAAAGTTCCCTCGATTTTCACCTTATTAAAAGTGAAAGTTTGCCACTTTCCCAAAACAGTCACGTTGTCCAATCAGCATACAGTACTGTTGCTAGGTGATCTCAGTCTCCTCCTCCTGAACCCCTGCTGGAATGTCCTTGGTTCCCATGGGAAAGCAGTCTTTATTTTGGCTACAGCCCCCCAGCTATCTCTACTCCCCCCCTCCTTCCTATCCACAGCTCCAGTGTGTGTCAGCACTGAAGCAGAAAAAGAAAATGGCCTCAGCTCGGCCATCTCAGGGCTGACATAAACATTGTTTACTTCGACTAAAACACCTCCTCCAGCAATCGATACCCAGAGAAGCCGAAATGATCACCAAGATTAACAGTAGACCAACAACAAGCCTTTAAACAACACCTCAGTTAAGGAAATACCAACTCAAACAAACAGACGTTTCATAACCCGACTAGGTAACATTATCAGGACTAAAGGGAGTGGGTTAGCTCTCTGTTTACCGTATTTTTCAGACTATAAGACACACTGAAATTTAGAAGAGGAAATCGACAAAAAACGTTTTTGGCCTCCACGCCCCCCATTTTTGGGGGGCCTTTTCCAGCTTTTTTGGGGGGGGCCATTTTCAAGGCTTTTTTCTGTCTGTTTTCTAGGCCTTTTTGGGGGGGGCAGTTTTCGAGGCTTTTTTCAACTTCTTTTCGAGGCTTTTTTCTGCCCCTTTTCGAGGCCTTTTTTTTTTTTCTTTTTGGCCAGTTTTCAAGGCTTTTTTGACCCATTTTTGAGGCTTTTTTCAGGCCATTTTTTCCCAAACAAATTGGCCAAAAAAGCCTCAAAAATCGTCCAAAAAAAGCCTTGAAAATGGGCCGAAAAAAGCCTCAAAAGCGGGCTGAAAAAAGTCCCGAAAATGGGCCTGAAAAAGGCCAAAAATGTGGCGTGTGGAGGCAAAAAAATGGTGGGTGGGCGGGGCTTCGGCAATATTCAGTCTAAAATGCCCAGACATTTTCACCCCCTTTTGGGAGACAAAAAAGTGTGTCTTATAGTCCGAAAAATATGGTATATACAAGTGTCAGGGCAATACCCCAATCAAGGAACTACCAACTCAGGTAAGCAAGCTTACAGTAAACCACAGCCTAATGAATCAACCCCCAAGAATACACCCACCGACACCGACAAGTCGTAAACAGAGAGCATACCCCACTCCCTCCTCCTAGCACTGATGATATTACTTAGCTGGGCGATGAAACGTCTGCAAGAGAGAGAGAAAAAAATCCCAGCTCAGGAGCATCAAAGACCCCACAGAAGAAATGTGTGCCTGTGGATTAAAGGAGAGGGGGACAGCATGTCATGCCAGAATTTAGAGAAAAGCTAAAATAACCTTTATTCTCATTTTTCCTGTGTACACAATTGTGCACATAAAAATGAAATTCTGATGCCTGCTCTCAAATGAAAATATATATATATATAATGAGTGTGTGTGTGTGTGAAGGAAATAAGGGATGGGGGTCCAACTAGCAATAGCCCGAGAAGGAGAACGGTCAGAGGTTTAAATAGCCCAGGAAAGAAAATCAGATTTTCATCATGCTGCTCCTTTTTTTAAAAAAAAGTCTGCACACGTGGCAGCCTTGTTAAATTTCAGCCCTTGGGAAAAAAGATGGCTTTTTTTAAGCTTGCCATCGGTATCGCCCAATTGAGCTGGTGCAGTGCGGTGCATTGCAAAATTGTGCATCTATACAGGTGACAGTTGGGTGCATTCAGATGCATCAGGCAAAAGGAAGAAAGGCATTGGGTTTGTTTTGGGGTGTGGATATTAGCTAGTTGGGGCTGGGGGGGGAATGACTACCAAATATTTTTCCAGAATTATTTCCACTATTTCTAATTATTTCAGACTTAGAAGTCCTCATCAATGAGCTAATTAGCTAGAATCCACACCTAAAATAAACCTTATACCTTCTGGGGGTTTTTTTGGTGGCTTATTGTTTAACCTGCTTTTCTTTTTTTCTTTTTTTTCCCCTTTCTCTGTTCTTTCTGAGGAACACTTTTTAAGTCCCATCAATTCGCCAAGAGATAAATATAGTTTTTGTGTGTGGCTCAGCTACATCTCCCGGTCCATAACCCAACTGACTCTTTCTGCTAACTAAAAAGCTAGGCTGCTGATTTCTCTCTTACTATTAAACCTTCGGTACTCGGCGAGTTCCGTTAAATAAAAGCATCAAAAATATTTATGATTCTCTCCACACTGTATCTGCAGTGGGTGTGAATAATTGTGCAAAATAAATAAATAAAAATGCACACAGCGTTTCCATTGGCAAACGCTTCTATTTCTCCCCCCCCCCCCCCTGGATTGTGAAATCGTCAACTGCGGGATGTAAGACTGCAGTCCCATTGCCTGGAGAAGCAGCCGTGCGTGTCGACCCCCCTGACACGCAAGCGTCCCATTCTCTTTTTATAATTTCCAGAGTCTCTTGTCATTTTGCTGGGTTATGTCTGGGATTAGAAACATGATTTATATTTAAGGTTGCACGTTAATGCAGCATGCAGTGCCAGGGAGAAGCAGAAGATTCCCCCCCCCCCATATTCTGAAAATAAAATCAAGATAAAAGAGTTTTTAGACAAGCAAGGAAACCAGTCTGGGTGCGTTGGGTGTTCTTGAACTTCTTGTCTGAAATGGTATTTGGTTTCCTGCCTGAGCAGTGGGGTGGACTTGAAGACCTCCAAGGTCCCTTCTGACTCTCTTATTCGATTCGATTCTTCGATTCGATTTGTTTCTTCTATTCTATTCTTCTATTTTATTCTGTTCTTCTATTCTACCGTGTTTCCCCGAAAATGAGACACCCTGTCTTATATTTTTTTGAACCCCGAAATAAGCGCTTGGCCTTATTTTCAGGGAGGTCTTAATATTTTGGGGCGCGTGGAGCAAGACGGGGCTCCTCTTTTCGCCTTACCTGATTTCCAGCTCTGTCTCCCTAACCCTAAGCAGACAGACTGCGCGTGCATTTAAATATTTTTGGGGTGGGCTTATTTTCGGGGAAACACAATATTCTATCCTGTTATTATATTCTTCTATTCTATTCTATTCTACTCTACTCTACTCTACTCTATCCTACTCTACTCTAGTATACTATACTATACTCTAGTATACTCTAGTATACCTATACTATACTATACTATACTATACTATACTATACTATACTATACTATACTATACTATACTATACTAAAGTAAAGTAAAGTAAACTAAAGTAAACTAATATTATACTATACTAAACTATAGTATACTAATACTAATATTATACTATACCATACTAAACTATAGTATACTAATACTATACTAAACTAAACTAATACTATACCATACTAAACTATAGTATACTAATACTAATACTATACTATACCATATTAAACTATAGTATACTAATACTATACTATACTAATACTATACTAAACTAAACTAAACTATAGTATACTAATACTATACTATACTAAACTAAACTAAACTAATACTATACCATATTAAACTATAGTATACTAATACTAATACTATACTATACCATACTAAACTATAGTATACTAATACTAATACTATACTATACCATATTAAACTATAGTATACTAATACTATAGTATACTATAGTATACTAATACTATACTATACCATACTAAACTATAGTATACTAATACTAATACTATAGAATACTAATACTAATACTAATACTAATACTAATACTAATACTAATACTAATACTATACTATACTATACTATACTATACTATACTATACTATACTCTGAACCAGTAGATGTATATTTTATTTTGATTTTATTTACCACATTTTGCAACCACCCATCTCCCTCACAGTAGGACTCTGGGCACTGTACAATACAATATTAAAACATAAAAACAGTATATAAAATTTAAAATTTATGGGATGTGCGGAGGGGTTTTAGATCAAATAGATCAAGCGTACAGCCTTCATCCCTTCTGATACTGGTCCTTCCTTTCTCTTCTCTTTCACAGTATTGCAACGGTGGAGACCTAGCAGATTACTTGCAAGGTAACAATTTCCTGCTCTTTACCTGCAATAATGGTCAAGTGTCAGGAGAAATTTCCTGACAGAACAATTCATCAGGGGAACGACTTGCCTCCAGAAGTTGTGGGTGCTCAGGTTTTTTTTAAAAAAGGGATTGGACGACCATTTGTCTGCAATGGTATAGGGCCGTGATGGCGAACCTATGGCACGCGTGCCACAGGTGGCACACGGAGCCATATCTGTGGGCACACGAGCGTTGCCCTAGCTCAGCTCAAGCTCACATACGTGCCCTGGCCAACTGATTTTTGGGCATTGGGCCCACCAGAAGTTGTGGAGTGTATCTGTATCCAGGCCTCCAGGGGGTGGGGAACGCCGTTTTTTGCCCTCCCCAGGCTCCTAGAAAGTCTCTGGAGCCTGGGAGATCCCACCAGAAGTTGGGAAACAGGCCATTTCCAGCCTCCGGAGGGCCTCTGTGGGCTAGGGAAGCCGTAAAATGGGGGCAAAGCTCACTTAACAAATTTCTCACTTAGCAACATACCGTATTTTTCGGTCTATAAGACACACTTCCCCCCTCCCCAAAAAAGTGGGTGGAAATGTCTGTGCGCCTTATACAGCGAATGTTGCCGAAGCCCACCAGCCGGCTTCTGCCTCCCAGCAATTTGCCTCCTTACAGCAAACTGCCTGGTCAGCTTCAGCACAGCCTGATTTAGCACAAGCAGCTGATTGGCAGTTGGATCAGCCTCCATCTGAATACTGCTGATCTGCTACTTCAGGCTGTGATCACTACCGCCTCTGCGCGCCCCATTTTTGGCTTCTGCGCGTCTTATTTTCAGCTCGTTCCAGGCGATGGGGATTGCCCTGGAACGGGCCAAAAATGGGGCACACGGAGGCCAAAAACAGGGCGCACGGAAGCTGAAAATGGGGTGTATGGCGGTGGCGATGGGTGGGGGCGGCGATGGGCGGTGGCGATCCCCGCAGCCTGGAACAGCTGATAGGCAGTATTCTGGGAGGCAATCCAACTGCCAATCAGCTGCTTGTGCTAAATCAGACTGTGCTGAAGCTGACCAGCCTGTTTGCTGTTTGCTGCAAGGAGGCAAATTGCTGGGAGGCAGAGGCAGATTTTTTTTTTTTCTTGCTTTCCTCCCCAAAAGCTAGATGTGTCTTACAATCCGGAGCATTTTATAGTGCAGTGGTTCTCAACCTGTGGGTTGCGACCCCTTTGGGGGTCGAACGACCCTTTCACAGGGGTCGCCTAAGACCTTCGGAAAACACATATTTTCAATGGTTTTAGGAATAATTTTATGGTTGGGGGTCACCACAACATGAGGAACTGTATTAAAGAGTCGCGGCATTAGGAAGGTTGAGAACCACTGTTAAAGTGCGAAAAATACCGTAAATTTTGTCTCAATTGTGGCCGTAAGTTGAGGACTACCCTGTTTCCCCCAAAATAAGACATCCCCTGCTAATAAGAGCCTTGGTACTACAGTGGTCTAAGGCACCCTGTTATTAAGCTGATTATTAAGACTAGCTGCCTGCAATTACTGCAGGTTCGAATCTCGCCAGGCTCAAGGTTGACTCAGCCTTCCATCCTTTCTAAGGTAGGTGAAATGAGGACCCGGATTGTGGGGGCAATAAGCTGACTTTGTATAAATATACAAAAGAATGAAGCTATTGCTGAGCACATTGTAAGCCGCCCTGAGTCTCCAGAGAAGGGGGGCATATAAATCAAATTTAAAAAAAAAATCCCAATCGGGCCTTTGAGCAGATGGCAATAAGACCAAGCGCTTATTTTAGGGTTCAAAAAAATATAAGACACAGGGTCTTATTTTTGGGAAAATACGGTACCTGTAATTGGGCCTGATAGACAGCTGCCTTTGTTTTGATTTCCGGAGACCTGGTGCCGGACATTTGCTGTATGATCTGGAGCGGGAGGGATCATACTTTTGGAAAGGAATCATTCCCCCCCCCCCCCCAAGAGGAATTGGAGACTAAGGAGAAATACTTTTTAAGGGTCCAGTGAACTGTAAAATTCAAGGTAGCTATTTTGGGACTTTGAGCATCATTGCACAGCTGTTGTGGGAAGGTGCGAGTGATGTTGTGTGCCCTTCAGAAGCCAGCGTGGCCTTCTGGGACACTGAGAAAAAGCAGGGTGTCGGGCTACAAAATTTCTGGCCTAACACAGGTCGTCCTCGACTTAAGACCACCATTGAGCCCAAAATTTCTGGTTGCTAAGGGGAAACATTTGTTAACTGCATTTTGCCCCGTTTTAAGACCTTTCAAGTTGTTAACTGAATCACTGCCGTTGTGAAGTGAAACTGCTTCTTGACTGACTTTGCTTTGTCGGAAGGGATCAAATGATCCTGGGACATAGCGAACGTCATAAATATGAGCCAGTTGCCAAACTTATGAATTTTTGTCACGTGACTGCAGAGGTTGTAACTGTGAAAATTGGTCATGTTCCTTTTTTACGGTGCCGTTGTAACTTTGAATGGACACTAAACGAACTGTTGTAAATCGAGGACTACCTGTACAACTTTTTTTTTTTTAATTAAATTCAAGGTAGGTAGTCAGTTCAGGTAGTCCTCGACTTACGAGTCCAGTAAGAACCAGAATTTCAATTGCTAAAGCAAGGCAGTTGTGGTCAGAGCTGCCACAGTCTGATCCCTTAGGAAAGAGAAACCTTCATTTGGTTAAAGCAAAGGGTTCTTTTTACTAAGGATCAGGGTGGATTTGATTTAAATCGAGTTGATTTAAAGCACGATTTAAATCATGATTTAAATCACTAGTAAAAAGGCTTGATTTAAATCAACTCGATTTAAATCATAATTGTTAAAGAGCAACTGTCATCTCTGCTACTCCTTTGACCCACTGTTGACTCACCGATAGTCCCAGTGTTGCAGAATCTACAGCCTCGTGCTACGTAACTAAGCTCCATTTCATGCTGAATAAACTAAATTATTTATGTATCTTAAATAGAAAACTATCTTAGGATAGATTTTTACCCCAAAAGTTTTTTATTAAAATAAATCATTGTAAGCCACCCTGAGTCTCCGGAGAAGGGCGGCATATAAATCAAATTTTTTTTAAAAAAAAAAAAAAAAAAAAAATCTGATTTAAATCAAAAAAATCCGATTTTTTTGATTTTAAAAAAAAATCATTGATTTTTATCCACCCTGGGCTCAATTGTAATCATAAGTCGAGATATGACCTGTATTGTTCTAGAAAATCTGTTCCTCTCCAGATATACAGGATTTGACTCCCATTTTCGTTGTCCCTTGCTGTTATTTCAGTATAGAAGTCAAAGTCCATCACATGACCCAGACGTGCCTGGCTGGGCTTCATTCAAAGCCTAGACGTCTTTAGCTAGAGCTGCCTGATAAACTGCATGTTTTATGGCCTCGTCAGGCGAGAAAGATCAGGTCCACATACGAAGGTTCAATTAAGTTGATTTATTGCTAAAATTCTCTGTGCAGAAATCTCCTCAACTAAAGGTTGAGAAGCCAATTCAGCGGAGAAGCCAGATTCACATCACAACCCCTTTACTGATTTAACAGCTGCAGTGATTGACTTAAACTGTGTGGCAGGAAAGGCCCTAAAATGGGGCAAACTCACTTTACGACTGTCTTGCTTAGCAACATAAATTTCGGGGTTAGTTACGTTCAGAAGTCGAAAACTATTGCATCAAGGAGAATCCAGCCAGAGTGCAATCTTTTGAAATGCTCGTATTTAGAGCAAGGCTCCCCAATCTGTGAGCTATGTCCCAACTATCAGGCCACAAGCTAATGGCCACTGGGCCACGTAAGTGACTGGCGTGTGCCCAGCCCCATTCGCGCGAGCCCCATGCAGGCACTCACGGCCCCCACTTGCGTGAGGCTCGTCACAAGCACTTGCAGCCATACTCGCACGAGTCTCGCAGCAAACGATGGCACTTACACACACATGCGCTTGCCCCTCCCGCAAAATCATCCCCTATCCACGACCCCACTACATCCACCAACCCAGAAAGGTTGAGGAACTCTTGATTTAGAGGTCCAGATCCCATCATTCCCTGAACAGCCCACCTGCTTTGACGAAGCGCTGGAAATGCTGAAGGCAGTTAAAGAAATAATTTTACCCTCTTTCCGCCCCTTCTCCCAGCCAAAGGAACGCTCAGCGAGGATACCATCCGGGTCTTCCTGCAGCAGATCGCGGCTGCCATGCGCGTTCTCCACGGCAAAGGCATCATCCACAGGGACCTGAAGCCGCAGAACATCCTGCTGTCATACGCCAGTCGCAGGAAGTCGAACGTCAGCGGCATCCGCGTCAAGATAGGCAAGTCACCACCGATTGCCCGGCACAGACTCCCTGTAGAATGAATAAGGAGCTCCTCCTCAAAAGTTACTTTGCAAAGCCACAGTGGGCTTCTCAGACCTGCCAGCACTTAAATCTCTAAATAGAAATGATCCTTGGCTCCATTTGTTGAGGAAGGTATAATTTTATTAGAAGTCAGGTGTATTGTAGTAATGCATAACCGGAACTGGATCATTGTGTGCCAGAATCCCTAAATTCAACTTTTCCCTTCCATAACTGCCTCCCATCGCTGACCCACCATCACCAATCAGGTTCAAACAAGTTGTTTTCAGGATGGTCACTTCAAGCTACCTGCTTTCTTCTCCCAGCTGTGTGACCTTGAAGCGGTGTCTCAGGGAGATACAACAGTTACTTTCGCTTTCCCCCAAGCATTCCCACCCTCCCCTTCCACATCCATTTGCACTACTTAGGTGATCCCTAAGGACACAAATGAATCACCAAGTGGCCTCAACGACTCTCTAAAAGGATGCACATGACCAGCTTTCTGCAAGGAGTATAAAATCCTTCCCTTCCCCACCATCCGCTCAGAACTGGAGAAGCTCCTTGGATGAGAAGCGAAATGTCTTCAAAGAAAACCAAGGAAGTCTAGTTGCCTCTGGAACAACTTAACAACTCGCCACGGCCGACTCGTCATGGGAGAATTCAACAAATACAAAAGTTAAATTCATTTCGACGGAACCGTGGCCAATAATAATAATAAAGTCAATCCCGAAATACAAGACCTGCAATAATTTCGACGAAAACGTGGTCACCAATAATAAAAGTAACTGAATGAAATAATTAATGTAACGTTGAACGGTCCCATGGCAAGTTGGCTGTGCTGAGTTAGCTTCAGTGACTTGTCTTAGACCCCCAGGTCTCTGGATCCTTGTGAAACCGCACAAGACATCCTTACTCTCACAGAACCAATAAGGCAGTGATGGCTAACCTTTTTGCCGTCGCGTGCCAGGAGGGGGGGGGCAGGGGAGGGTCGTGCGCGCACATGCCCACGCACATATGTGTGCAACCCCCCTCTCCCCCCCCCCCCCGCTCCTTTACATGATGGCCTGGTAGGCCCGTTTTTCTTTCTTACCTGGTTCCAAATCCTCTCTGTGTATCTGGGAAGGGCAAAAACAGCCTTTCCCACTCCCTTGGAGGCTGAAAGGGCCCATTTCCCAACTCCCGGTGGGACAGGAAGTGACATTTTTTGCTGTCCCCAGCCTCCAGAACCTCTCTAGGAGCCTCTCTAGGACTCTGTAGGAGCCTCTCTAGGAGTCTCTGGAGGCTGGGGACAGGAAAAAACGTCACTTCCTGTCCCACCGGGAGTGAGGAAATGGACCCTTTCAGCCTCCGTAGGGCCTCCAAGGGAGTGGGAAAGGCTGTTTTCGCCGTTCCCAGATACACAGAGAGGATCTGGAGCCAGGTAAGAAAGAAAAAACGGGCCTTCCCTACCTCCCCCCAGGCTCTCCAGAGGCAGGAAACAGCCTGTTTCCCTACTTCTGGTGGGCCCAGAAGGCCCGAAAATCAGCTGGCCGGCGCGCGCATGTGCCCCAGAGCTGAGCTGGTGTGCCCATTAGGTTCTCCATCACGGCAATAAGGCATCCAAAAATTATGCAAGCATTTTTGCACTATTTTGTAAGGCCCCACAAGAGCAGGGTACTCTCACGTGACTTCCAGAGGGGAGAAGTTCGGAAAAGCCTTAAGTGGACAGGGTGTGACATGCTAGCAGAGTCAAGATAGTCATTTTCTTAACTTCTTGTTGTGACCCACCAGCGGCCAGCAGAGCTGGCAGCAGATTCAGACAGTGAGGAGGTTGGGGAGGAACCTGGACCAGTCCTGGAGTCTGGCGAAGGCTCTAATGAGGGCTCTGCGTCGGAGGCAGAGAGGGGGCCACGGCCGTATGCCAGTTATCTGCCTTCGGAGTCGGACATCAGTAGGGCAGAAGAACAGCTGGAACCTGTTCCCAGTGTGCGCATGCGCAGAGTTGCCCGACAAAGGGAACAGCTAAAGAACAAGGGTCGACTTGGGAGTAAGGCCCCAGGTGAACGATGAAGGGCCCCTCCCAGAGGGAATAAAAGAGGAGCGAAAGGGGAGTGGAGTTTGCAGGAGACAATTAGTTCGTTTAATTGTTTTGTGACTCTCCAAGTTTTGAAGATATCGGCCTGGCAGCTCTCCAAGCCAGATAAAGTCGGTGACTAAATTCAAAGACTTTGCTGAAGGTGAACGAGAGGAATTCACCGTTTGTTTAATAAAAGGGGTTTTGTCGGGACCAGGATTCTGCTTTGTGCTTTTTTGGGGAAGCCTAGATCAGAACACTTGTGGCGTGCCAAGCCTCCAAGGTTCTCCATCATTGCATTAAAGGTTAGCTCTGATTGACTACAACCTGCAGCTTGCACAGTTGGCTGACGTTTCCCCACGGTCAGAATTAATGTTTCACCTCGAGACGGATTTGAACAAGGCAGACTCTCGTTCGCATACTTGAACTGCTTCCATCAATCATACACGCAATTCTTAGCCGGCTGAGAATCACCTCTAGTGATTCCACACACTCTCAGTGCACCAGCTTGGGAGATGCTGGAAGGAGTCATTAAGTGAAGAAGTCCTGGTATTATGGCATCCATCCTAACCAAATGTCCTTTCCTTTCTTGAAAGGATTTTATTAAAAACTAGCATAATGTAAAAAAAATGAAAATGAAGATGGAGATGGTCGAAAAATAAGAAAGGGGGAAGAGAGGTATAGGTGCAGGAGAAAAGAAAAAACAGGATCGACTTCCAGTTATTTTCAAGGCAGTGTTGGAAGAAATCTCCTTCTAGGTTCTGCTCCAAGTGGGGAAAAAGAAACGAGACATGGAGACTGCTTGGAAAGATGGTTTAATGGTGGACAGGATCACATGGCTTGAGTTCCTGAACAGAAAAGGGCAGATACAGCGAGTTTTTCAGGTTTTATGCCCTCTCTGGCTTTGAACTTCCTGGGGCCCAGAAAGAGTAATCTGATTGGTTGTCAGACTCGCAGGGGGTGGGGGTCTTAGCTAGCCTTGCTGGCTGATGGTCACATGTGCTTCCCAGGTCACATGTGGTGAGTTTCTGCTGCTATTGTGTAGAGGGCTAATCCTATCTTTGTTGGATCTTTGGCAATTCCTACTATGGCTCTGCCTGAAGGAGGCAGATCTTTGTTACGTAGAATAGACTGGCCCTGGCCTTAATGGCCCATTGACAAAGGGTGGGGGGCAGGAAGATGGGAGCTGCTTCAAAATATGCTTATCCATTTCTCATCCAGGGAAATATAATATTCTGCCTTTTTCATATTTCCTAAAATATTTCACTCTTCCAGGAAAGGGTGGGTGCTAACTTCCTACAGCAGTAAAGTACAAAATATAATTTCAACCTCAACTTTTTACTTCACCAACTTAACAAGCTATTTCTATAACTATAGGTAAAGGTAAAGGTTCCCCTCGCACATATGTGCTAGTCGTTCCCGACTCTAGGGGGCAGTGCTGATCTCCGTTTCAAAGCCGAAGAGCCAGCGCTGTCCGAAGACGTCTCCATGGTCTTGTGGCCAGCATGACTAAATGCCAAAGGCGCACCGAACGCTGTATATAATCTATAACTATATTAATTATATTAAATCTATAACTATATTAATCAGTAAAACCGAGCATCAAGAGTTCGGGTTTTTTTCTGTCCCAAGCACAAAGTCCAGAAATGGTTTCCATCCAAAGCTGGATATACCAAGTGTTATTTCCCTGATCTATTGTGTGGGAGTCAAAGCCACAGATCTCTGGAGGTCCCAGATTGGGAAAGATTGGGCCGCGTTATGTCTGCCTAGGTCCTCTTGCTTGAGCGAGGGGGGGTCAGACTAGATGACCTCCAAAGTCCCTTCCAACTCTTTTCTTCTGCTATTAACAGAAGTTGAGAGCTCAACTATGGTCTGTTTTTCTTTAAGCAGCTGACTTTGGGTTCGCCCGTTACCTCCAGAGCAACATGATGGCGGCCACCCTCTGCGGCTCCCCGATGTATATGGTGAGTGAAGTCTTTCTTGGTTTTCTTTGGCTGTAGGTAGAGCTAAGCCGGCTGGGGAATTCTGGGAGTTGAAGTCCACAGGTGTTAAACTCGCTGAGATTGAGACGCACTGCTCTAACCCCACCTGGTGAAAGCTAGATAAGGTTGCTGGCAGGGTGGATTTGATTTAAATCGAGTTGGTTTAAATCGCGATTTAAATCATGATTTAAATCGCTAGTAAAAAGGCTTGATTTAAATCAACTCGATTTAAATCATATTTTTTAAAGAGCAACTGTTATCTCTGCTCCTCCTTTGACCCACCGTTGACTGACCGATCGTCCCAGTGTTGCAGAATATACAGCCTCCTGCTACATAACTAAGCTCCATTTCATGCTGAAGAAACTAAATTATTTATGTATCTTACATAGAAAACTATCTTACGATCGATTTTTACCCCAAAAGTTTTTTTTTATTAAAATAAATCTGATTTAAATCAAAAAAATCCAATTTAAATCAAAAAAATCGAATTTAAATTTTAAAAAATCTGATTTTTTTTTTATTTTTTTTTAAATCATTGATTTTTATCCACCCTGGTTGCTGGGAAGGGATGGATGAGCAGGAGGAGGGGATGCAAATTGGGTAGTTTTGCTAAGATTGTGGGAAGTGTAATATTTCCCTCCCTGCCCTGCATTAGCTTAGCACACCTGTCCCCTGAGCGCTGGCCCCTCCCACGGCTGCCACTTTCCCTCCCTGCCTCCCTTCTGCTACTCAATCTCCTTTTCATTTTCCAGGCACCGGAAGTGATCATGTCCCAACACTACGATGCTAAAGCCGACCTGTGGAGTATAGGCACGGTCATCTACCAGTGCCTGGTTGGGAAGCCACCCTTTCAGGTAGGCGCAGAGAAGAGGAGAAGACCGAAGGAGAATATTGGCAGGGCGGGGTTGAAATGAGAGAGGGGTCCTTGGGGGCTCTCTCTGAATTTGGCGGTTTTCTTGTAGACGTTTCGTGACCCAGCTAGGCAACATCATCCGTGCTACAAGGGAAGGGGGTTTGCTCTCTTTTCATATATATTAGTGGTTTGCTCTGCTAGTGTTGTTGGGGTTTCTTTGGTGGTTCCTTGGTTAGACTGTTGTGGATGGATGGATGGATGGATGGATGGATGGATGGATGGATGGATGGTTGGTTGGTTGGTTCTTGGTGCTCTGAACTTGGTGGTTTTCTAGCAGACATTTCATGACCCAACTAGGTAACATCATCAGTGCTAGAAGGGAATGGGATTTATGAAGAAGAGGAGGAGGGGGAGGGCAACTGCAGGGTCCTTGGTGCTCTCTGAGCTTGCTTCTTTTCCTGTAGACGTTTCATGAGCCAACTAGGTAACATTATCAGAGCTATGGACTATTATCATTATCAGAGCTATTATCAGAGTATGGACTACTGTAATGCTCTCTACATGGGCTCCCCTTGAGGAGCACCCGGAGGCTCCAACTGGTCCAGAACGTAGCCGCGCGGGTGATTATGGGCGCAGCTCGTTACGCCCATGTAACACCTCTCCTACGCGAGCTGCACTGGCTCCCAGTGGTCTTCCGGGTGCGATTCAAGGTGTTAGTTATCACCTTTAAAGCGCTCCATGGCTTAGGACCTGGGTACCTACGAGACCGTCTTTTGCCACCAATAGCCTCCCACCGACCAGTTCATTCTCACAGGGAGGGACTACTCAGGGTACCGTCAGTCAAATTATGCCGACTGGCGACTCCCAGGGGGAGGGCCTTCTCTGTGGGGGCTCCAACCCTTTGGAATGAACTGCCCCCGGAGATACGGAATATCCCTGATCTCCGTGCTTTCCGCCGTGCCCTCAAGACCCTGATGTTCCAACAGGCGGGGCTAAACATATGAACATGTGAATGATTTTTTAAATGTTATCTAATTCTGGGTTTTATTTGATTGACCAAACTAAGTAATAATTTTAATTAGTAATTTTATGATGTTTGTGTGTCTATATTTTTCTTGACTGTACACCGCCTTGAGTCCTACGGGAGAAAGGCGGTATAGAAATATAATAATGAATAAATAAATAGAAGGGAATGGGATTTGAAGAGTGGAGAAGGAGGAGGACTGCAGGGTGCTTGGTGCTCTCTGAGCTTGCTTCTTTTCTTACAGACGTTTCATGATCCAAGTAGGTAACATCTTCAGTGCTAGAAGGGAGTGGGGTTTGTTCTCTTTTTATATATACTATTGGTTTGCTCTGTCAGTGTTGATAGGGTGTCCTTGGTGGTTCCTTCATTAACTGTTGTGGGAGGTAGGTGGATGGATGGATGGTGGGTTCTTCGTTCTTTCTGAGCCTGGTTTTTTTTTTTTTTTTAATTTGATTTATATGCCGCCCTTCTCCGGAGACTCAGGGCAGCTTACAGTGTGTTAAGCAATAGCCTTCATCCTTTTGTATATTTATACAAAGTCAGCTTATTGCCCCCATAATCTGGCTCCTCATTTCACCTACCTTAGAAAGGATGGAAGGCTGAGTCAATCTTGAGCCTGGGGAGATTTGAACTTGCAGTAACTGCAGGCAGCAGATGTAAGTGGATGTTAATAACAGTGCTTTAGTCTGCTGAGCCACAGAGCTCTTCCACCAGAGTTATTTTCTTGCAGCCGTTTCATGACCCAATTTAAGTAATATCATCAGTGCTAGTAGGGAGTGAGGTTTGCTCTCTGTTGATACACAAGCAGCTTGCCCTGACACGGACTCCCCATTTGCTGCTCCCTTGGTTCCAGGACTCTGCTAATCATCCTCATAAACTTTCTAAAATAAACACTGTGGTTGCTAAGCCCTGTTGTGCAATATCAGAACCAAACAAACCACCGTCTGGTTTCGGGTATTGAGTGAAGCCAACCTCTATAAACGCCCTATATAATCTAAATTAATCTCTTTTTTTTTTTTTTCTTCAGGCGAATAGTCCTCAGGATCTGCGAATGTTTTACGAGAAGAACAGGAACCTCATCCCGAGGTAAGGTTGACCTCCCCTCAATTGTGGCAACCGGTTCCAATGCCTTTGTCTGTCCTAGCCTTGCCGCCCCCCCCCCCCAAGGTAGCTGTGCCCTCCAAGTAGTTGCAGGATGGCATGGTATTCCAGCCCATCTGGATGGCTTAAAACCTCAGGAGAAGCTGCCACCATACCGTACTTTTCGGAGTATAAGATGCACTTCCCTTCCCAAAAAATGGGTGAAAATTGCGGTGCGTCTTATACACCGAATGTTACGGAAGCCCTGCCCACCCGCCAGCCCCCACCCACCCGCCAATTTCGGCCTCCATGCATCATGTTTTTGGCCTCCACACGCCCCGTTTTAGACCCTTTCCAGGCTGTGGGGATCGCCACAGTACATCGCTGCCTCCGTGTGTCGCATTTTTGGCCTCCGTGCGTCGCATTTTCAACCTGTTCCAGGCGGCGGGGATCAGCGGCAATCCCTGCCGCCTGGAACCAGCTGAAAATGCAATGTATGGAGGCCAAAATTGGGGCGTGCGGAGGCCAAAAACGTGATGCGCGTAGGCCAAAACATGATGCAAGGAGGTGGCGATAGGCTCTGGTGATCCCCACAGCCTGGAACAGCTGATTGGTGGTATTCCAAGAGGCCAATCCAACCGCCAATCAGCTGTTTGTGCTAATTCAGGCTGTGATGACATGCTGAAGTTGACCAGGCTGTTTGCTGCAAGGATGCTAGCCAGATGAATACCGATGGATGCTAGTAGGCAGAGGAAGAATTTTTTTTTTCTTGTTTTCCTCCCCAAAAACTAACGTTTGTCTTACACTCCGAAAAATACCCTAAAACTCTTGCCTTTTTTTTGTTTTGTTTTGTTTTTTTGCTTTGCTTTTAGCATCCCCAGGGAAACCTCAGCTTACTTGTCCGATTTGCTTCTGAACTTGCTTCAGAGAAACCAGAAAGACAGAATGGACTTTGGTGAGTAAAAGATCTGGGATGCTTTTTAAAAAGCTCTCCTTTCTTTTTTTCTTTTCTTCCCTTTTTTCCTTTCTTTCTTTCCAGTAGGGAAAGAGAACTGATTTCACACACACACACACACACACACACACACACACACACACACACACCCGGTGTCCGATCCGGTTTGCAATCGGAGCAGTGATCCGTTCAAACGAATAGGGCAGTGTGACTTTTACAAAGAAGCTCAAATTGATGGATTGTGGAAGTTTTCGTTCGTTGCAGGAAAGGTCAACTTGAGCTGGCCAGCATTTGAGACAGCCTTTCCTGTTTTTTGTTTGTTCGTTTGTTTTTTTGTTTTTGTTTTTTGCTTTAATTTATATGCTGCCCTTCTCCGGAGACTCAGGGCGGCTTACAATGCGTTAAGCAATAGCCTTCATACTTTTGTATATTTATACAAAGTCAGCTTATTGCCCCCACAATCTGGGTCCTCATTTCACCTACCTTTGAAAGGGATGGAAGGCTGAGTCAACCTTGAGCCTGGTGAGATTTGAACTCGCAGTAATTGCAGGCAGCTGGTGTTAATAACAGTGCTTTAGTCCACTGTACTACAGGCTCTTCTTTGTTGGGGTTATTATTTGTATTTGTATTTATTAGTTTGTCAAACATGTACAAGATAGATATAAATATAAACGTGGATATGAACGAAAGAAATGAGTACAAATAAATGGGGGCAGTAGGATAGGGATGGTAGGCCCACTGGTGCGCTTATGCGCGCCCCCTTTACGGACCTCTTAGGAATGGGGTGAGGTCCACGGTGGACAGTTTGAGATTGAAGCTGTGAGGGTTTGAGGATGTAACAACGGAGTTGTTAACGAAGGATGTAACAACGAACCGACAGCAGCCCACCAATGAGAATCTCCATAGAAAAGGTGCTTCTGACTGCATGTTGTGGTCCACCAGCAGCCTGCAGAGCTGGCGGACAGTGAAGAGGCTGGGGAGGACCATGGGCCAGTCCTGGAGGCTGGGGAAGGCCCGGACGAGGGCTCTGCGTCGGAGGCAGAGATGGGGCCAGGGCCATCGGGGAGTGATGTGCGGACTCCGGAGCTTCCAGAGGCTGACAGCAGAGAGGCAGAGGAACAGGAGGAGCCTGTTCCTAGTGCATGCATGAGAAGAGCTGCCAGAAGGCAAGAGCAGCTAAAGCAAAAGGGACGACTCGGGAGTAAGGCCAGGAGATGATTGGCCCCTCCAGTAAGGCTGAAAAGACCAGCAAGGGCTCTTGGGCTCTTGGTCGGAAAACAAAGTTGATAGATTTGTTTCTTATCTTGCTGCATTTATTTCTTGTCGGCGTCTTCTGCTCCTGAACTGTTGCCAAGAAAAGGCTTTGGCAGGTTGCCTAATTAGACCAAGGTTGGTGATAAGGCTGAAGAATTGTGTTATGAAGAATTTGTTTTGAATTAGTTTGGACTACGGTGAGAATGAGTTAATTCTCAGCTGTTCTAATAAAGTCTGTTTCTTTAGAACTGGTTGCGTCTGATACTACCTACTTGGGCCTAGGTCACAACACTGCGCACCTGTTGCGGGAGACAAATTTAGCTCCCGTCGACAACTTCTGAAAGCAACAGTGTCCTTTCTCTGGCTCGTGCGAGGCCGTCCTTTGACGCAGCTGCTGTGGCTTGAAGGACTCGCAGACAGATGCCGATTCGTGCTTTGAAGGATCTTTCTGGAATCGGATCTAAAGCTCTCTGCAGGGTCATTGCATCCCGAGGCTTGGCTGGCGCTTCGCAGCCCCTTCCGCTTACCCCAAACATAACGCCCAAGAGGGACGCTTTCCGACAGCTGCCTCCCAAGTAGGACAATGGGAGAGGGAGCAAAGTAAAACGGAACAGCTTGTAGCGTAAGCCCTTCCCCAATCCACCTCGCCCCCAGTGTCAGCTCAGAACCAACCAGACAGACCGGGATTAAAAAATTAAAATAAATCGGAACAGAATAATTACCGTTAGTGGCAAAATCACCTGCCTCGTGTTATAGATGTCAGCGTCTCAGCGCTGACATAGAAAAGGGAGATAAAGCCTGAACTTTTGCCTGCTAAATCCCTTTGAAGCTCGGTCTCCTTGGAAATGAAGAGGGGGGGAAACATTCCTGTGAACTGACGAGAAAAGAAGTCAGGAGAGTGACTTGGAAGATAGCCAATGAGAAGCAGAGAATTGGGGATCGGAAAGGGAGGGATTGGGGGGGCAAAGGTCAGTCCTGACCGCACGAGCCATGATCCGGTTGCTGTACTCGAATAAAGAGAAAATTTCCTTAAAGATTGGCAGTTTGGAAATTCATTTATTTTGAGATAGCATCGAAGTCTGACAATTGACTCGGTTCAGGGAATCCTCGACCACAATGGCGCCCAATATTTCTGTTGCTAGGCAGAGGCAGTTGTTAGGTGAATTTTGCGGTGGGGGGCTCCCCATTTATGAACCTCCTTGCCACCATAGTTGAGTGAATCACTGCCGTTGTTAAGTGAGGAACGTGGTTGCTAAGTGAATCTGGCTTCCCCTCTGACTTTGCTTGGTGATCAGATGACCCCTGGATGTCAGACTTCCCACAAGTTGAACCTTTAGATAGAAACAATGCTTGACTTAAGAAAAGAATAGTTTATTAGAATTAGAATAGAATAGCAATAGCATTTAGACCAGGGGTGAAATCCAAAATTTTCCCCTACGGGTTCTGTGGGCGTGGCTTGGTGGGCGTGGCAAGGGAAGGATATTTCAAAATCTCCATTCCTACCCCACTTCAGGGGAAGAATACTGCAAACTCTCCATTCCCTCCCCTCCTGGGGGAAGAATATTGCAAAATCTCCATTCCCACTCCACTCTGAGGCCAGCCAAAGGTGGTATTTGCCAGTTCTCTGAACCACTCAAAATTTCCGCTACCGGTTCTCTAGAACCTGTTAGAACCTGCTGGATTTCACCCCTGATTTAAACTTATATACGGCTTCATAGTGCTTTTACAGCCCTCTCTAAGGGGTTTACAGAGTCAGCCTCTTGCCCCCAACAAAATCTGCATCCTCATTTTATCCCACCTCGGAAGGATGGAAGGCCGAGTCAACCTTGAGCCTGGTGGGATTTGAACTGCCAAATTGTAGGCAGTCAGCAGAAGGAGCCTGCACTCTAACCACTGCACCACCAGGGCTCATTAGAATAGGAATAGGAATAGAGAACAGAATCAATCAGAATAGAGCTGGAAGGGACCTTGGAGGTCTTCTAGTCCAATCCTCTGCTCAGGTAGGAAACCCGACACCATTTCATACAAACGGTTGCCCAATCTCTTATTTAAAACTTCCAAGCTGTTCCACTGATCAATTTTTCTCACTGGCAGGAAATTTCTCCTTAGTTCCAGGTTGCTTCTTTCCTTGATTAGTTTTCCCCACTTTGCTTCTTGTCCTGCCCTCAGGTGCTTTGGAGAATAGCTTGACCACCAAATGTGGCAGCCCCTGAGATATTGGGACACTGCTATTATGTCACCCCTAGTCCTTCTCTTTGTTAGACTACCCAATTCCAGCAACCGTTCTTTATATGTCTTGGCCTCCTTGTCATGTTTATGTAGTGTAAAATTGGACTCTTTAAGAGCTGCAAGCAACGAAATTTCATTTTTGATGTAATCCAATTAGTGTACATTCAAAGTGACAAAGCTATTCTATTCCTATTCTACTTCTATTCTATTCTACCCTACCCCACCCCACCCTATTCTATTCTATTCTATTCTATTCTATTCTACCCTGCCCTACTCTATTCTACCCTGCCCTACCCTACTCTTATTCTATTCTACCGTACCGTACTCTATTCTATTCTATTCTATACTATTCTATTCTATTCTATTCTATTCTATTCTATTCTATTCTATTCTATTCTATTCTATTCTACCGTGCCCTACCCTACCCTATTCTATTCTATTCTATCCTACCCTACCCTACCCCTATTCTATCCTACCCTACCCTACCCTACCGTACTCTATTCTATTCTATTCTACCGTGCCCTACCCTACCCTATTCTATTCTATTCTATCCTACCCTACCCTACCCTACCCTACCCTACCGTACTCTATTCTATTCTATTCTATTCTACCGTGCCCTACCCTACCCTATTCTATTCTATTCTATCCTACCCTACCCTACCCTACCCTACCCTACCGTACTCTATTCTATTCTATTCTACCCTGCCCTACCCTACTCCTATTCTATTCTACCCTACCCTACCGTAGTCTATTCTATTCTATTCTACCCTACCCTACCCTACCTGCCTTACCCTATTCTATTCTATTCTATTCTACCCTACCCTACCCTACCCTACCCTATTCTATTCTATTCTATCCACTAGAAGACAATTATAAAAAGTAAGTAGTAGATCCTTTCTCAGTGACTTCCAAGCCTATTGTTTGGCCCTGCACCTAGCCGGATGGGGGTTTTATTATCTGGGCTAGGCTCTTTCAATCCATCTGGATTGATTTCCTGATGGCATTTCCTTTTATTTCTTTTTTTTTTTTTTTTTTTTTTTTTTTTTTTTTTTGAGCTCTAATTGACAGACATTGGCATTAAAAAGCCAATACCCACAGAATGGGCAATTTCCCCCCCTGGGTTTGTCACTTCGGCTCAGCGGTTGGTTCAATGCCCAGCCATGCCCGGCGACGGTTGATTGGAAGGCTTCCAGTTAAGGACGGTGGCTGGTAAACAGCGTGAGATGCTTAGATAATCCTGAATTTCTTAGAAGCACAGCCGCGTTCCAAGGCTGCATTTTATTTCTTTTAAGTCACATTTGAAAGCAGGAACAAGCTGTAGGCAGCTTGTAAAGTCGGACCCGTTGCGTTACTGATTAATAATAACGGGGGGTGGGGGGGAATATAAATTGCTAGAACAAAACCAGTTCTGAAAATAGCTTTGCCAAGTTATTTATAGCGCTGACGTCTCTTTAACATCTTTCTTGGCTCTTGCGATTGTTGTCTGGGAAAGTTTCTGACGACATCGTCGTGTTGCC